TTAATGTACGCTCGCTGTCGTCCTTTTTAAGTCTTCTCTGCATTTGTGTTTCAGTTTCACCGGCGCGGCGCATATTATAGAATCAGACTGTTCTCCAACTTCTTCTCCATGTAATGAATCGTAACCTAGAAGAAGTTCAGAAATCACAAATAAGTGTTGCGTGCCCTCCACTAGCTCGCTCGTGTGGTGATGGTCTCTGTAGGTAACGTTACTCGGCGTTCAACTTAAGTCCACTTGTTGATAATTCAAAGCACAAAACCATAAGGGTATTCAAACAATACATCAATTTAAATTCAAGCCTAGTACTATGAATAATACAAGGAATGTTACAATTAGTGATGCTTCGATATTATTATTATTATTATTATTATTATTATTTGCGTGCGTAATAATTAAAGATGGACCACAAATCAAATCAGTGGACAATTGAGTAACACAATATCACACGAGAAAAAATGACGTGAATGGATATGATTTCTCATAAGCACGAGGTTGCAGGTTACATCACGACCAAGCGAGTGATTGAACATGAATATAATTGAGTAACTTACATTTAAAGCAGGAGCGTTTCCGAGCAACGCAGTAGCGTTTCGGTTTGTTTGTTTTTTGTTGTTGTTGTTTTTAAGCTAGCACTACACCGTGTAACTCTTAGTTTATTCTTAGCTAAAAACACTTAGTTCTTTCAAAAATATTTGTGCTCATTAATGTATATTTACTTCGTTCAAGTAATAAAGTATTCTCGTGAGTGTAGGCTATAATATGCCATTGAAAATACATACGGGTAGTTGGATTCTTACTGATTGTATGGGGTGGACACAGGTGTCTTTATGCAGCTAATGACCTCAAACAGGTGTATCCAGAGGGTCAGAATTCTAGCTGATTGACAGGTGTTCAAATACTTATTTGCAGCTGTATCATACAAATAATCAGTTAAAAAAATCATATATTGTGATTTCTGGATTATTATTATTTATTTTTTGATTTTTTGATTTTGTCTCTCACAGTGGACATGCACCTACGATGACAATTTGGGAGAACTTGCAAAATAGCATGGTGCTCAAATACTTATTTTCCTCACTGTATCTGATATATGTACATTTGATTCATAAATACTGCGGGTCTAGTGCGGAAGTGGTTTTTGTTCCAAGATTGCTGATATTTACATCTCTTGTCTCATGGCCATGGGATAGTAAAGCGCACGTCGGAAGTATCCAGTTACTTTTTGCCTATTGTTTTATGAATATTATAAATTCGGACATACAAATCTTTTGTTGACTACTATATGAAGACAATACTAAAATGCATAGCCTATTTTGATGCAGGCATGGTGTTGATATGATTGAATTGCTATCAAATCACGAAATCAGTGAAAATGCATCATGTGGCCATGTGTAAACAGGCCTTTTGTGTACTTTGGCACACACACTATAACTCATTATATCTGACTTACATAAATTTCCATGACAGTTTCATTGGTCACAAGTACACAGCTTCCTTTGTGGCACAAATGAGTCAAACTGCTGGAGATCTGATTATCTCATAATTAAGCTAGAACTAGATATGAGCCAATAACTTCATTTATTACAGAACACGCCTAACAGTACATATGGATGGATCCTATATTCATACAGTACCATGTTGATCCCTTATTTTAGAGTCATTTTGATGGCCTGCACCTCTAATAATGGTGTTGCTGTACTTCCCTTCATTCAGTTTGTGTTGATGATGCTATTTTGATCTGTGACTTTTAATCATGACCTTACAATTCAAGTTGAGTGACACTGAGATATATTAGCACAATATTATCCTGAAAGAAATGATACTCCCTTACCTTTCCAGTACCATCGTAGATTGTAAAAGTCTACTGTCACTTTTGATCAATTCATTTGTGCCCTTTCTGAATAAAAATATTAATTTCTTTAAAAATGTATTTCTTTTCAATTTATTGACCCCAAAACCATGGTACATGGTTTGTTAGAGATTTTAATATTATCATTTTTAGTAATCCATAATGTAAGATATAGTTAAAAAATATATAAATGTTAGGATGGTTGAATGGAGTTTTTTTAAGCATATCATGATCAAGTGGATGTTTTTATTTTTAAATCAAATGTGTGCCAAAAAGTAACTGTTGCTACTGTACTGTGAATGTACAAACCACTTATGTTGTAACCTTGCCTAGCTTCCTGAAAACAAGTCAGAGGGTTAGAGACATTTATGATTAAATTCACACGAAACGGAAATTGCAATAGTCTTTTCTTTCCTATTGACGTATATTTGAGTGAAACAGGTTCTCAAACAAGAAATGTAGGATGGGACTTGATTTTGTACATTCTGAATTGATTGGATTATTGAATTATCTGTTTCTATTGCTGTTATCTCATGTGAGAGACAGGTTGTCCTGTAATCGGTAATCTGTCTTGTAAGTCATCAGAGAAGAGAAGAGATGTCGTTGCAAAGGGAAGCAAAGTTATTACGAAGGCATGTGATTGTGAATTGTGAGTATTTGCAGCTAGTTTCTGTATTTGGTTGTGTTGTGAGTATTTGCAGCTAGTTTCTGTATTTGGTTGCGTTGTGAGTATTTGCAGCTAGTTTCTGTATTTGGTTGTGTTGTGAGTATTTGCAGCGAGTTTCTATATTTGTTTGCGTTGTGAGTATTTGCAGCGCTTTTCTGTAATTGGTTGCGTTGTGAGTATTTTGCAGCGAGTTTCTGTATTTGGTTGTGTTGTGAGTATTTGCAGAGAGTTTCTGTATTTGGTTGTGTTGTGAGTATTTGCAGTGAGTCTCTGTATTTGGTTACATTGTGAGTATTTGCAGTGAGTCTCTGTATTTGGTTACATTGTGAGTATTTGCAGTGAGTCTCTGTATTTGGTTACATTGTGAGTATTTGCAGTGAGTCTCTGTATTTGGTTGTGTTGTGAGTATTTGCAGTGAGTCTCTGTATTTGGTTACATTGTGAGTATTTGCAGTGAGTCTCTGTATTTAGTTGTGTTGTGAGTATTTGCAGTGAGTCTCTGTATTTGGTTACATTGTGAGTATTTGCAGTGAGTCTCTGTATTTGGTTACATTGTGAGTATTTGCAGTGAGTCTCTGTATTTGGTTACATTGTGAGTATTTGCAGTGAGTCTGTATTTGGTTACATTGTGAGTATTTGCAGTGAGTCTCTGTATTTGGTTACATTGTGAGTATTTGCAGTGAGTCTCTGTATTTGGTTGTGTTGTGAGTATTTGCAGTGAGTCTCTGTATTTGGTTACATTGTGAGTATTTGCAGTGAGTCTCTGTATTTGGTTACATTGTGAGTATTTGCAGTGAGTTTCTGTATTTGGTTGCGCTGTGAGTATTTGCAGCGAGTTTCTGTATTTGGTTGCATTGTGAGTATTTGCAGTGAGTCTGTATTTGGTTACATTGTGAGTATTTGCAGTGAGTCTCTGTATTTGGTTACATTGTGAGTATTTGCAGTGAGTCTCTGTATTTGGTTGTGTTGTGAGTATTTGCAGTGAGTCTCTGTATTTGGTTACATTGTGAGTATTTGCAGTGAGTCTCTGTATTTGGTTACATTGTGAGTATTTGCAGTGAGTCTCTGTATTTGGTTACATTGTGAGTATTTGCAGTGAGTTTCTGTATTTGGTTGCGTTGTGAGTATTTGCAGCGAGTTTCTGTATTTGGTTGCATTGTGAGTATTTCCAGCGAGTTTCTGTATTTGGTTGTGTTGTGAGTATCTGCAGAGAGTTTCTATATTTGGTTGCATTGTGAGTTTTTCCAGCGAGTTTCTGTATTTGGTTGTGTTGTGAGTATCTGCAGCATGTGTGTTGTCAAACTGATGATGTTTTTTTAATATGCTGGTGTTTTCTTCTTTTTTGCATGTGTTTTCTTCAGTTGCAGCATGTTGAGCTCTTTCAGTCACGACACAGAGTGTAGTTAAAATTAGTGATTTTCCTTGTGATGAAACGGATGTAATGTATCATGCATAAAATGATGTAATTTCATGGTTGCATTATGTTCCCTGGAAAAGCCTTTTGACCCGTGTGCTCAGATTGCGTGTGTCGTGCGTCCATATGGTCTCCTGACGTCTCAAGTCTGTAATCTCATTCTGTCAGAAGCAGTTTAACACACACAGCCAGTGGTGCATTTCTGCTGAACATCGCTCACACATCACAACACACACACACACACACTCTGCTGTAGGACAAGCTCAAAATTCAGTCCTGACATCATGGAGGTTGTGGGTAAGATAAACACATTCAGTTAACTCTTTTAATTCTAATGAAAAATGTCATTTTAATGGTTGGTTGATTTCTATGCTGCTTGGTTTTTTTAACACTAATGAGTTTGTATAATATGTTTGGAGGTCTTTTTATAAATGAGGTCATAAATGGCCAGTTTTAAGACAAAAAATTTAATATTGTTTCTTGTTTTTAAACTCGGGTAACATTTAGTTGATTAGAAAATTAACACAGTCTATTTATGTGGTGGTGTAGCAAAAAATACAATGGTACAGTGATGGTATCAGATACCAATACCATGGTACTTGTATATATGTGTATATATCTCTCTCAAAATCTCATCTGGTGACCTTTTCCTGATTAAGATGTTTTTAAATATAAAGTAATGAATAATATGCTGAGTTTGTGCTCAAGAAACATTTCTTATAATTAAAAAAAACACTTTTGATCAATTTATGCATCCTGGCTGAATAAATCTTGTTGAATAAGTTGAATAAGTTATTTTTTTTTTAATCTTAAGGACTCCAAGCTTTTGCCTGGAAGTGTATGTTGTGTAAACTAATGTACAACATGAGATGAAGACCAGTCATATTATTAGCCTAATAAAAGCAGTTTAATTTTACTTGGAGCAGGTTGCATTATGGTCCCCATGTCATGTTGATATCACATGATAGCTCATTTATGCAATGACATCAGTAACAGATGGCACAATTCGGTCGCTACGTGTCACGAATTACTGATTGATTTTAATGGGGAAAACAATTATTTAAATTTATTTGAATCATTTTATTTAGTCATGCATTGAAATTGTAGTTATTGAATTTGCCATTTGTATTGCTGAAGATGTATGTATGCTATTGTTAAATTAACTTTGCTTTAACTCAACTCGCAATAGTGAGCATCGTAAAGCTTCAGTGATCTTTAGAGCTCAGAGGTAATTCAGTTCAAAGCTAACCAGGTGTCAATCAAGGCATGTTTAGTTGATTAAGGCCAAGATGGATTACCAGGGACCTATAGACCAACAAAAAGCTTTAGTGTAGCCAACCAGGATGTTCCTTTAAATTGAAGAAGTCTACACCTGTGAACTTGCATGTTGCTGAGACTTCGAGATCAATGGAGCCATTACATGCATGAATGCCTCTAAGTGTTGGGTGTGTGCGACATGTCTTAACAACTGGTGCTACTTGCTGCTCTCTGTATAAAGGGATTAACCAAGTGTTTGCTTGTCCTATTTGACGAAGATACAGGTTAGAATGAATTAAAGTGGAAACAGATGGCAAACCCTGGTTTAGTTCAGCACAACTGCTCAGTGTAAAGGTGTGTTCACACTGACAGCTATTTGCAGCAACAATGCGATCAGGTGTATAGTTCTTTTTTTATTCCTTTAAAAAGGAAGCAGGTGATGAAATTCCAGGAAAGATCATTATGTGATGTCTGTTTTGTTTCTCTTAGCATGTTCCATGGGCAGCAGCTCTAGTCTCTACAGTGCCCTGGCTAAGACTGTCAGCAGACCTGCTCTCCCTCACACTCGGGACACATACAGTAGGGGGAACGACCTGGATCAAGACCTGGCGGACCCTTTGGAGCTGTTGCGGGAATGTCGAGAGGTTTTGAGAAACCGGCCTGCCCAACTGCAGAGATCTCTCATTCAGACGGGACATGGAGACTCCAGGCAGACGATCAGAGTTATGCAGTGGAATGTACTAGCACAAGGTACAAACCTAAACCCTATTCATCATCATTAAGAGGGGACACTGAATGACATATAATTTGTGTTTAACATGATATACACTTAAACATTTTAGGGGTATGTGAGAGCCTCTTATGGCCACCAAGACCATTTATTTGAGCAAAAATAAAATGTAATTCATGTTTCGTGAACTATTGCAATAAAAAACAAAAGCTGAATTTGACAAAGCTGAATTTTCAGCAGTCTTCAGTGCCACATGATACTTCAGAAATCATTATCATATCTGACTTGCTGCTAAGAAACATTTTTTATTAATATCAATTTTGAGATTGTTGACAACTGCTGTACTGGTTTTGTGGAAATTGTGATACTTTTTTCTGAATTATTTGATTAATCGAATTGATTTGAAATAGATTTTTTTTGTGGTAATAATATAAAAGTATTTTATATTATTAAGTTTTATAACCATTTAAAGTTTAATAAATATTGACTGAAATAAAATATCTATATCTATCTATATGTGTGTGTGTGTGTGTATATATATATATATATATATACATTTTTTGTGTTTACATATATGAGTGCACTGTATATAATTATTTTATATTTATAAAATATATAAATACACACACATCCATGTATATTTAAGAAAAAAAATATTTATCTATAAATATATATATATATAAAATATAAATGTATATAATATTAATTATATATAAATCTATATACAGTACATGAAAATATTTCTTAAATATATACAAGCATGTGTGTGTATTTATATATATGTAAAATAATTATACACACACACATGTGTATATATATATATATATATATATATATATATATATATATATATATATATATATATACTGTATATCATTTAACTATGCCAAGGCAAGATTTCTCATTTAGTTTAACTAGATGTACTAAAATAGTTCAATTTTAATTGCATTAATAATGATTGTTTCGCTAATCATTATGACATATTCAGGATTTTAGTGACCCAGATTTATATCTTAACAGCTCTCTAACTGCCACATTATGAGTATAAAACTTTACGACTTTATAACTTTCAATTATGAGTTTATATCACACAATTCTGGCTTTATAACTTCCAAATACTAGTTAATATCTTGCCATTCTGACTTTAATTATAACTTGTGTTCAATCCAAAAATGTTATGCTTCTGATTTATTTTTTATTTAGTGGTGGAAACAAACTTCCATAATATTCTTTTGTTTTCTGCCTTTTTTTGCAAATGCAAATTGCACTTATTGAGTCATCAGAGATTTAGTTATTTTTGTGAAGAAAAAAATATACACTAGTGACCCCATTTACTTTTTATTCAAAAACAAAAATGATTAGAAAACACGCATTCTTTATCCTTTATCTTTTTATCTTGTTTCCTTGTTTAAAATAATAAAAAGGTTGAAGTCTAACTTTAAAAAAATGAATGAGGATAATGAATGATATTTAAAATGAATAATAATGACAAAATTACTAACACTTCAGCTTAAAATGGACGCATAAAAATAAAAACCAATTCAAAATATTCATTAAAACTATAAAAGTGTCTCAATGGTGCTGAAATCACACTGCCGCAAGGAGACATTTTCATTATAATCTTTTACTTTAGAAAGTTGTAGCAAGGATTATTTACAGAGATTATGTTTTTTAACACGATCCAACTTCTCCCTGTCCCGTTGCAGCATTAGGTGAAGGCATGGACAGTTTTGTGCAGTGCCCCGTGGATGCCCTGAACTGGGCTGAAAGGAAGTATTTGATCCTGGAGGAGATCCTAACCTACAGACCTGACATCCTATGCCTACAGGAAGTTGATCACTACTTTGACATGTTTCAGCCCGTCCTGGCAAGTTTGGGCTACCAGAGCAGTTTCTGCCCCAAACCATGGTCTCCATGCCTGGATGTGGAGAACAACAACGGCCCTGATGGCTGCGCTCTGTTCTTCGATCACAAACGCTTCCAGTCACTAAACACAACACACCTGCGATTGTCCGCCATGATGTTGAAGACCAATCAGGTGGCCATCATCACCGCTCTACGCTGCCGAGACACAGGTCGGGCGTTCTGCGTGGCGGTGACCCATCTGAAGGCACGGAGCGGCTGGGAGGTCCTACGCAGCACGCAGGGATCGGATCTGCTGCGCAACCTGCGGAACGTTGCACAGAGAATAGAGACCGAAGAAAAAGCGGATACAGACGTTCCCCTGATAGTGTGTGGCGATTTTAATGCCGAGCCGTCAGAAGACGTCTATAGGAATTTCGCAACGTCTAGTCTGGGACTGGACAGTGCGTATAAGCATTTGAGTACGGACGGGAAAACCGAGCCACCTTACACAACGTGGAAGATTCGGCCCAGTGGCGAGAGCTGCCACACCCTGGATTACGTGTGGTATTCGCAGAGAGCGTTTGACGTTAATGCGGTTCTGGACTTTCCTACAGCCGAACAAATTGGACCCAATAGGCTTCCATCCTATAATTACCCTTCAGATCACCTGTCCCTCGTCTGTGACTTCAGCTTCAAGGATCCGGCGCCTGTTTCCCAGTAATTACAGACTTATTTCGCAAGATATCACACGAGTCAAGACTTGTGCTGGCACAGTTTTTGTACATATTTTGATTGCTGTTCATGAATAATTAACACTTCAGCCAGTACATTCTTAAAGGGATAGTTCATACAAAAAAAAAAAATTCATTTCATTTCATTCAACGTATGATTTTCTTGTACTGTGGAACATTTAAACGAGATTTGTTTTCATTTCCTAAGACAATACAGCACAATAAAATCTTCTTAAAGCAAAAAACTTTAGTCATTTTGTCCACTATACGATAGCTTTGTGTGAAATCTTCCGATTACATGCATTGTAAAGTGGTGCCAGGTTAGAAATTGGTGACCGCAAATGTGATTGGTGAAATGCAATTTTTGAGATTTAAGAGCTATAATGGGGAAAGGGGTTCAAGAATTAACTTAACTATCATATTTCCTCACACAAAGCTATAGTATGCCTTCAGAAGGCTTGAATATTACTATTTTTTTATGGTGCTGTAAATTGGTGTCCACGACAACACTAGGCTGCCCACAGATGCGCCTGCCTAATAATCGGCTTGATATACTTGGATATTGGCCGATGCCGATTATGTTAAAAAATGCCAAAAATCGGCCAATTAATCGTCTGACCGATTAATCAGTCTACAGATTATAAAGCAAAACAATCGCTCATAAAAAAAACAACAACAAAGTTTAAGTTTTATAAGCTCAAATGTAGAGGTTTCTACATTTTAATCTACCAGACCGATTAATCGGTCTATATTGTTGTTGTTGTTTTTGTTTTTAATGAGCGATTGTTTCGCTTTATAAGACCCATTCATCGTCTGGAATCGTTTAAAGCCCTTTGAGCAGTTTGCGCTGAAACTGTCTTTTGGACCTTGAACCATTTGGATACCAGTAAAGTGCATTATATGGAGAAAAATCCTGGAATGGGAGGAAACTAATTCAGGTTTGGAGAGGTTAAGTAAATTATGAGAAAAATTTTTATTTTATTTGTTGGTACGATTTAGAGGCCGTTTACACGACAGCGTTTTCAACTTAAAACGGAAAACTTTTTTGGCCCTTCTTTTACACAACAACGGTATTTTGGGGACTGAAACGCAAACCTTTGAAAAAAGGTTTCAAAGTGCATGATTTTGAAAACGATGCCGAGTAAACTACAAAAAGGTGAATTTGTGAAAACCGTGTTTATTCAGTGTATATGCATGTGGTTTTTCTTTACAAATTGGCATTGCCAACTACTGGCCTGGCAGCAGAATACAGCTTTTTTTTTTTTATCTGTTTCACGGATTTGTGTGAATGGGGATCATTTTGATAATGTTGTCCTCTGTACACGAAAAAACAAAGGAAAAACTTTTCCGTTTTATTACGTTGTTGTCGTGTAAACATATCCTTATTCTTTTCAACTTGTTTGCTTATAACTTCAGGGTGTTGGTTTAAAAGCAAAATGTTACATTTCTTTTCTTAATATGTGACTCAAATCATCCTGCAACATTTTTTGGGTCTTATTGGTTATAACATGACCGCTTGCACAGATAAAACTATTGTATTGTGAGTTTTTTTTTTTTTTTACGGTTAATAAAGTATGTTTGGGAAGGTGTCAAATTTTGCATGAACATTGTGTATCGTTCACACTCGTGTATAAGGGAAGCATTATCAATAAATTATGTCCTTTATGTAATAGCCTCTTAATGATTTCTCAGCTTCACCAGTCTACTCTACGTGATCAATTGCAGACAGTTAAATTATTTGGACCCATCACATAAGCTCCTCGTTTTATAGAGTCAAGCATTATTACACCTTTAAAGGGCAATGCAGAAAGAAGATGCAACTCAATCCCTTCCTCACAGGTTGTTAGTGAAGTGTGCAAAACCACTAGCCCAATATCACTCTACATACGTATACTCTCATTTATTTACATAACGATCATCACAGTCTAAAACGATATTTTGGTGCTCCTCAACACTTATTGTAATGTAGATATTTTACATTTTTGATAAAACCAAATGTTACTTTAGTATTAGAGTAGAGATATTATTTTAGTTTTTATTAATATTTTGAATGCCTTTTTACTATTATACATTTTAAAGTTTAAATTATTTTGTTGTGTTTTGATGTTATTTTGTTGTTAGTTATGGTTATAGTTTTTAATATTTTTTTTAGTTATTTTTTATAACATCAAGTTAAACTACATGAGAAATGTTGCCTTGGCAACTAGCTGAAATAAAATAGATCTTGGATAAGATTTCAATTTATATATATATATATATATATATACACACTTTAAAGGTGATGATCTATATAAATCTTATCCAAGTTATAGTGATGCAGTGGTGATCTGAAATAAGGAGGCAAAGTACACTTAATATTGTCACATTTTCCAGGTTAAATAGACCATTAAATTACTTCAAAAAATTGAAACCAACTAAAATTCTATTTTGTGTGTTTACATTGTATTTAACGATAAATTGTAATGAATGTTCTAGGCCTATTAATTAAAACCAAGTATAAATATCATCAAGTTTCATTTTTGAGCATTTATTCAACAACAAAAAAAACTAAATGGCAGTAACAATTTAAAGCATATATTTAAAAAAAAAGTATTCTGGACAAATGTGGGAAAAATAGTTTTGATTTATTTTTGAAAAATACTTCCCTTGATCTGATTTAGCGATTAAATGGACTATGCTCAATATAAACTATTTTTATACTTATAATACTCAATACGTGTCCAGCTATAGGCCATTACCCTGAAACATGACCAGGATAGCTTGACAAGTATGAGCCTGTGTGTGGCACCAGTTCATCCAGCTCATGTGTAGAAGACACACTACCCACTAGTGACCAAATTTATAACTGCATGCACAAGAAATACAACTTCTTGCGGTGGACTATAGCACAAGGACTTTAATGTGTAGTTTGGGCCTAACTTGTCTTCTTTTAGCCAGGACTATCAGGCATTCAGTGGGTCTTAACATGTTTAGTCTAGGTCTTCTGTCCAGTGTTTTATGTCATTTTCTTGTTTAAGTTTGATTTGTTACTTTGTCTCAGCTTGGCATTTCGAGAATTTTGTGTCTGCATTTTTCTAAAAAAGTGAAAAGGTGACGCAAGACCATGCAAAAAAAAAAAAAAAAAAAAAAAAAAAGTTCTGAAGCTGACAAAAAAAACCACTCAAATTCAGGAATATTTTTATATTTAAGTAAAACCTACTTGAGTACACTTTGAAACAAGAGTACAACAAAATAGAATATACTTCAAATGTTGAATATACAAACTAGATTATTCTGAACACAAACATCTTGCTCTCCCTCTTTAAAGACTAATAAAAAGCAAAAGAAAACAAATGCGTAAGAAATGTATTTGCAGTGAAGATGCATGCTGCCGACTGACCTTTTTTTGACAAATTGCCATCGTTCCAGGATTTGATTACACCCAAATAGTATGGCCTTTTTTAAATCCAGATTGAAATGTGAATGCAAAAATGCTTTGCAGTTTGTTTGCCAATAATACTGTGCTTGGTACAATGTGTGAGAAAAAAAATTAAAAACAACAACAACAACAAAACATGAACGTAACAAAAGCATATGCTTGATTTAAAAAAAAGAAGAAGAAAATAACTGTTCTAAGGCTGCATTGTTTATAAATTCAGTAAACTGTATAATTCCTATATACAAAATTCATTTCTTCCCTTAGTCGAGGTGGAGGGAGAATCGACACGTTCCTGTGAAGCATGGGCAGAAGCGTGGACTCACAGTGATCGTCAAAAGAAACTGCTGGTTTTGCCTTGCGGTTTTAATGTTAAAGAAAAAAATCTTTATACAAGTTATAAAAAGCTGAATTTATCCTCCCTCAAAAGTTCACATTATTGACTACAACTACTCACTCCTTAGTGTTCTTCTTCGCTGTCATTAGTGTCAAAATAGTTGTTTTTTGATTGTTTTTAAAGTTGAGAACTGTAGTGTTCTTTACATTGGTCCCTTTAACAAATCATAATTGAAATGACGAACATCCGGGTTTAATTCACATGGTGTGAGAGATGGGGCGCTGATACAGGCTGGAGTCTTTGCCTGCTTAGAATATATAAAAATGAAACCACACTTGAACTTGAAACTGTACAACTCCAGCTTGATTTCCCAGAATGTGATTGAATGGTATCTGGGGATTTCAAATTCACTTCTAGAGTTCACGACTGACGAAAACGCATCACTCTTCAGCTCTCTGCTGCGAACTGTGGTTTTGAACCTTCCTCGACCACCTCAGCTGCTGCCTGTGTGGGACTGTCCTGCTCAGGCTGTTCTGCGGAAGTGCTGTCGGGTTTGGACTCGGAGGTTTGGGCTGCGCTCTTGGCTTTTGGAGAGAGCTGGCTCTGCTGAATCTGGATCTGAACTGGGACTGACACCGGGCTCTGTGCCGGAGTGCACGCCGTCTGAACCGAGACTGGGACTCGAGTTTGCGTCTGGGCTGAAACGGGAACCTGCGTCTTCGCATGAGCCGGACTCTGCTGGGCAGGAACTGCCAGTCTGACCACCTGCGCCCCCTGCGCCACAGACACGGGCGTGAGGGCTCGGACGCCCATCAGATTGATGCCTGTGGGGCTGCCCGGTTTGGCCTGAAGCTGGCACTGCGTGAGCTGGGATGCGGGGATGGTGATTATCTTGGCGAGCTGAACTGTGATCCTGTCACCATTCTCTGCTGTGGCGGGCACCATCGTTGGCATGGTCTGGATTAGGACTTTGGGAGCGTTGATGCCAGTCGCTGAGCCAGTATTGGTGGGCGCTGTGGTGAAGAGCGAAGGGTTTGCTGACTGCATGGCCACAGTGGAGATCTTCTGTCCCAAGGAGTTCGTCATAACAACCGGCACTTGCATAGCAACCCGCACAGTCCTGGAACACAAGATGATGTTTTAAAACAACAATTTGTCACAGAAAATTAAAGTGCCCACACTATACTCATTTACAAGTTCGTTATTTTATTTTTGGGGTAAGCTAGAATTCATTTACATTTATAATGTACTTTGCTGTAGCATCTCTTTTAACCCTCTGTTTTAGTTACCGTCTCTTTAAAGCCCACCTTTATGGGAAAAAAAGCCCAGTCTCATTTCATTGGTCAGCTATTATTTACTAAGCCATAACTCTTTTTTTTTTGCCCTCAAAGTGAAAAAAAAAGCACCTCCTTAACATAGTTAAATCACTTAACCAATTGTTCTGAGGATTGGTAAAAGCAGCCAGTGGGTGGGAATTATGCAAATGTGTAACAGTGATGTAGCTAATAATGGCAGGACTACAAACAAAGCATACAAGCATACATAACAGAGATGGTCCTCACTGCAGAACATGAAATCCACGGGGAGGAGTCGGATCCAGATCCAACTCCTCCCACCTTACATATACCTAAACCTACCCAGCTCCACCCCCTGATCCCTAACCCCATGCCTAATGCTACCCAACTCCACCCCTCAGATTTGGATCCGACTCCGCCCCCTGGATCTTGTGTACTGCAATGAGGTGCTACTGAATTGAACTGAACCCTTCTGGTTAACACCAGTCTGGTTACCTGGGTGCGTTGGCATTGGAAATAATGGTGGCATGGGACGGATCTGTTGTGGAGACGGTTACGATGCGCTGAAGGGGAGTTGGAGTGAGTGCAGCTTTAGCTTTCGGGGAGC